TATCTTCTCAAGCTTCTTCCCAGAACTTAACTCCTCCTCTCTTGTGGGGGCTGAGGCTAAAAGACTTAGGAGAAATTCTATTTACAAGTATAAGGGGTTTGTTGTCTTTCTTGCTAGTCCTGGGGGTTAGGGGCTGGGGGCTCAGTTATTACAATTCCACTGAGAAAGTGGTTGATTTCCCCTTCCAAAGGAACAGTTTTCCCCACACAGAATTAATAAGAATGAAGAAAATTGATAGTAAGTGAAAGGTTCTGGACCCAAGGAAGAAAGATTATTCCAAGGCACAAAACAAAGGAAAACGGAATCCCTGTTTTGTAGAAATCATGTGGTCTTTATTTCCACCTGGAAGCAGGTGGGGTGAAATCAAGAAAGGAATTCCATGTTTGTTACAGCGGTTGAAGATTTAAAGGGTCAGGGAACGCAGAAATTGGTGGCATTCCTATTTCCTAGGAGGGAACATGAGTCTGACTCTTCCTGGGCAGGTCATAACTCTGACCCTGCCTGGGTGGGGCAGGTCTTTTTGGGCAGGTACACCTGATTCTATCAGTAAGTAGGTAATTAGCACTATCATACATACCAAAAAATCATTTTTGCCAGGATTTGCTCATTGTTTAAGATTATACTTAACATGATGTTATTATTCTTACCATTTCAAAATATATTAACATTCTAATTTATAAGTAATATATGTTTGTGAAAGATATTTTTGCAGCTATCATAAAGTATAAAAAGAAAAATCAGCCATAATTTCATCACTAAAATACAACTATGTTAAAATTTTGCTGTATCACCTTCCTTTTGGTTGTTTTATCTTGTATATTTATAGCATATTTGCCCAAATTGAGTTCATTTTGTACAAATAGTCCCTTCTTTTCATTTCTTTTTGTTTTAGAGATCACAACATACACTTACTGTAGAAAATCTAGAAAAATCAGAAAAGTATAAAGAAATGAAAATAATAATTTACCCATAATTTCATCCTCAGAGCCAAATGCTGCTATACTTATAAATTGACTTATACATTTTTTATATATGTATGTGAAAATAATTGAGGTCATACTTGTATATAAATTTTGCATTTGGCTTTTAAAAAATGTAAGACAAACACTTAAGGTTTTAAAATATTGTTTTATTTTATTTATTTATTTTTTGAGATGGAGTCTCATTTGGTCACCCTTGGTAGAATGCTGTAGCATCACAGCTCACAGCAACCTCCAACTCTTGGGCTTTAGCTAAGGTGGGCAGATTTTAACATTGGTAGTGGGACACCATTGACCGGGGGTAGGGGTGGGGGGCTGGGGAGGGTTCTCAATTTAAAATTTGGTCTATATGGAGCAACAAAAATTTTCATAGAATGCAAAAACAGTATCGTAATTTTTTTTAATTTCAACATAAGTACAATTTACAAATAACATTTGTTACATTAAATAAATACAACTAACATTTTATACATTAAAAAATTATGTATAGCATTATTTTATTCTTTGGCATATTTCTCATTTGAGTAAATTTTTTTTAGTAGATTGCTGTTGTTGTTTAAAAGGTTATGAAATTTTTCACAAGAATTTGTTAAATTATATTTCACACATAAAATGGCTTTCAAAGTCTCAACACTTAATTGTGAATTTTCTGATGTCCACACTTTATTTACCGTAGGAAAAACCATGTTCAGTTGCAGCATTAGTTCCTGGTAAGGACAGCACGTATCCCACCATTTTTTAATACATTATTGTATAGAACATGGTTTGTTTCAAAAGAATGAAATATTTCTAACCATTTGTTCTCTACTGTGATTTTTGCTGATGCCCAAGATATAACCTTTTCCTTATCTATCTATCTATCTATCTATATATATATAGAGACAGTCAGAGCCTCAAGCTGTCCCCCTGGGCAGAGTGCCCTGGCATTACAGCTCACCGCAACCTCCAACTCCTGGGCTCAAGCGAGTCTCCTGCCTCAGCCTCCCAAGTAGCTGGGACCACAGGCGCCCGCCACAACGCCCGGCTATTTCTTGGTTGCAGCTGTCATTGTTGTTTGGTGGGTCCTGGCTGGGGATCCGAACCCGCCACCTTAGGTGTACGTGGCTGGCACCTTAGCCGGTTGAGCTATAGGCGCCGAGCCAATATATTTTTTTAATAATGATACCTCGTAAGTCGTGTCACTTTCAAGGCCGGCGCTAGACTTTTTGCTGCCACTATAAAATATAAATAATACAAGTACTGTCTGCTAAATTAATGAGATACATAAATAACTTACCTAAATTATCTGAATAGCTGATTTGTTGAAATCACTTGTTTAACTAGCACTAGCACGCAGTTTGAGAGACAGTTACAAAACGTTTTTGTGGTTGCCAATGCCAAAAAATGCCATTGTTCATTAAGTCCAAACAATGGTGGTCGAATTCTAACAACTGATCAACAATGCAAACTTTGATAAGCACTTCTTAATAATCAGTGCTCAACAATTATTTGTTATTATTAAAGTTTAACATTATAAAATTAACAAAAATAGTATAAAACTCATATCCGGGCAAAATAGCTACATGGCAGCTGAAAACTGTATATTTCCTTTCCATTCTCCTGCAGTTCCCTAGCTTGTCCTGCAGTCTTTCCAAAAATTGGGACTTTTTAAAAATGCCGTGGGACATGGGACAAATTATTAAAAATTGGAACTGTCCCGCCAAAAGCAGGACGTCTGGTCACCTTAGCTTAAGCAATTCTCCTACCTCAGCCTCAGGCACTGGCCACAACACCCAGCTATTTTTTGGTTGTAGTTGTCATTATTGTTTGGCAGGCCTGGGCTGGATTCCAACCTGCTAGGTCCAGTTATGTGGCTGGAGCCCTAGCTGCTGAACTACCGGCACTGAACCAATATTATTTTAATGTCTGTTCAATATTTCATTTTATCAACACTCTTTAAATAACAAGTATTTAGATTCCGAGTGTTGTGCTATTAAATCTTGCTACTCTGAGCATCTATTTTTATACACGCTTCATCCACATTTCACGAAAATTTTCTAGAAGGGGAAAATAAATGCCCTTATACTGTTTATTTATTCTTTTTTGTGTTGACTCATTTCCTGGTATTCTGGGATTGCCCTAAACAAATATTCTGCATATTTGTTTGCAATTTGAGAAAAATCAGTCTTTAGAAGTAAAACTTCAGAGTATGAAGTAATTTCTGTTTGTAATTGTGATTTCTGTTTAATCCTGTTTCACACATTCACTCAAGTCTGGAGGCAGGCCTTGCTGAAGGTAATAAAACTTCCTTCTCCCAACTCCAGACCAGAAGGAGTCCTTGCCATCCATGTATGTGCTTCTTGAATAGCATCTTGTTACAGACTTCATTTGAACAACACATGAAATACAACTGCAATTTTTTTTTTTACTTTTGTTTTGTAAAACTACACATTTTTACAAGAACTCCATTTGTGGACGATACAACCTCTCGGTTTCCCCACGCCACTGGAACTGGCTCCTCTCTCTCCCCTTCCCCCTTTTAAAGTTGTCCTAATGACCTCTGAGGTGTAGTAAACGTGCCTTTCTCTGCTTGGGACTGGGGCCTTCTGTTTTCCCTTTGTTTTTAAAGTTCTTTCCGCCCATCTCAAGGTAAGACCACCGCCTCACCTCGCCGAGGCCCCGCCCCCTCGCCGAGGCCCTGCCTCCCAGCCACGAGCGTCCGATCTCCATGGTTACGAGGCCGTCGCACCAAACGCCCCAGCCAAGGGACTCAGAGCAGAGTTGGATAAAGCCGGCTCTTGCTCTGGATTATAGCCAAGGTCAGTCCAAGGTGGTTGCGCGCCCTTGAACCGGAGTTAGGCCTCATCAGGCTGCGAGCCTGGGCAGCTGGAGCAGCCTCGCCGAGACCCGACTCTCAGTCACGACCCGGCGTGCTACACTTCAGCTGAGCAGACGCCGCGTCAGGTCGGCCAGAGGCTGAGGGGGCCGGCTAAGGCTCGTTGCGCCTGAGCCTTCCGGTCTCTGCGGGACCGTCCTCACACCGCTGTATTTAGCGGCTGGCGGTGGTCGGGTTGGGGAGGGCGCTGAATTCCAGACCGGGCGCGCGCAAGGGCACGCGCGCGGACGGCCTTCCCTGCGTGCAGCTGCGCGCGGGTTTAAGCGCAGGCTTAAGCGCTTTTTATGCCACACGCTGTTCTAAGTACTGGATGTATAGAGCTCCTGTGGCCCGCACAGCTGCTCTGGGAAGAGGCATGGGTAGGAACCTTAGTTTCAGATGAGGAACCTGCCTGGGCAAGTGCAGGCAGCCGGAAAACGGCTGGGTCACGGCGAAGCCCAGTCCTGATTTACTGGACAGACGCGGAGGGCTGCCTTGCACCGAACGCTGCGGGTGCCCAGAGTTAGCTCTGCGTGGTCACCATTGTACTCTACGGGTCAGGTTCCCCTGTGCTCAGTTACTGACACTCCGAAAAACCAGGTGACTCCTGGTTTATAGTAAATGGAATTAATAACTGGAAGTTTTATCTTTGTCCATGATGCATAACTCTCAAAATACGTTTTGATTGTTTTATGTTTTTATCAAATATGAACTCCTTGGATATGCAGTAAAGAGAATTTGGGTGAAATGAGCAAGAATTGTTTTTCACGATTCTCTTAGTTATGAAAGGCCATCAGTGAGTGTGGTGCAATAGCATTTTCCTCTTTAAAGCCATTCTCTGCAGCCTACACAGATGAAGGTTGAATTTCTCATTAATTCTACACCCTTCCTCGTTATTCTTAGCCTTTTTCAAAATTTAAAAAAATCATGGCATAAATATACTTTAGGTAGCCTCCATTATTTAAGAGAGAAATATTGGAAGTCCCAATTGCTGTCATAATTAGTCTTTTAGTTTTGAAAATAAATGAGTAATGAAACTGGAAAGGGCCTAGATACTAATAATTAAATATTAATATGTTAATATGACTCTTTACAAATGTTATGGTGGATAAAGCTAAAGAGGAAAAATAATATATAAATGCCATTACAAAAAATGTTTTCTTTAGCCAGAATGCCTCCTACTCAGGCAGAAAGTGTCATAAAGAATATCATCCGAGAAATAGTACAAGAATGTGCAGTCCATGGAGAGATTATTTCTGAAACTCTGGTTGCTTTTATGGTAAGAACAAATGTTTTTATAAATTGCTGCTTTATTAAAGTTTTTTTATGTGGAACACATTTCCCCTGAAGATTCTGTGATGCTTTCTAGATGAACATAGACAAGTTAGTAAAAAATAATCTTTAAAAGTTTATAGAGCATGTCAATTCTAGATGTATAGAGATTGATGTAGAAGATCTTCATGAGTTTTAGAAACATCAATAATGTTCTGTGCTGTCATGAAGCAGCACAGACAGGGGGACTCCAAACCAGAGTGGAATTGGTGGGGAATGAGTAAGGTGACCAGATGTCCCGCTTTTGGCAGGACAGCCCCGATTTTTAAGAGTTTGTCCTGCAGCATTTAAAAAAGTACTGATTTTTGGAAAGAATGCACAACAAGCTAGGGAATAGCAGGACAATGGGAAGGGAATATATAGTTTTCAGCTGCTGAAAAGGTTAATGTAACTCCATTTGGGAATGAAGAGGTTAATGTAACTTCATTTGGAAATGAAAAGGCTAATGTAAACTCCCTACTCCCCTGGGCACAGTCACCCAGGTGGATCGAGCCCTACTCCTTTGAGCCACAGGCACCACCGTGTACTTAATTTTTTTTTAGTGTATTATATTTGTAAATTGTACTTATGTTGAAATTAAAAAATATATATTACAATACTATTTTTGCATTCTATGAAAATTTTTGTTGCTCCATATAGACCAAATTTTTAATTAAGAACCCAACACCCCCACCCCCACCCCAGGTCAATGGTGTCCTGCTTTACCAATGTTAAAATTTGGTCACCTTAGGAATGAGGAAAATACAGCACAAGGGAAGATATGGAAACAAAGGATGGAACCCAGAGGACTGACTGAGCTAATGGCTACAGCCAGCCCCAAAACACAAAATCAGCTTTATTTTATAGTATCTGTACAGGGTGTCCAGGGGGAAGTAGCATAGACAACATGGGCAAATAGCATAAACAAAAGACATAATTTTGGTCCTACAGTACAATTGGAAAATATAAATGACTTTAATAAAGACAAATCATCATGTTAATGGTTTCTACTAAACTTCATTATATGACAAGAAGTAAGAAGGGCAAGATCACGAGGATCTCAGCATAGTTGACAAAACAAAGGAAGAACCATGAGACTTAGTGGTTTCTACTCAACTTCATTAACATGTTACAAGAAGTAGGAAGGCAGAGAGCACAAGGGTCACAGCATGGTTAACTGGACAAAGAGCTACCTGACTTCTGGCAGAGGGAGCATGAAGAAAGGAATATGGCTGTTTCAGAATGGAGGAGAAGCAGTTGGGGGTTCATTCTCTGAATGTTCCCCAGGCTGTGAGGGCCCTGCCAGTCCACAGCCCACTCTCCACACTGTGCAGAATTTTTAACAGGTATTTTTGTTGACTGTTGTAAAAATTACTTGCTGCTATAGTTTCTTTGCTCTTGCATTTGGTTGACAATACATAATAAAAGTACAATGAAATTGGCTTGGCACCTGTGGCTCAAGCTGCTAAGGCGCCAGCCACATACACCTGAGCTGGCGGATTTGAATCCAGCCGGGGCCCACCAAACAGTGATGGCTGCAACCAAAAAATAGCCAGGCGTTGTGGCAGGTGCCTATAATTCCAGCTACTAGGGAGACAGAGGCAGGAGAATCGCTTGAGCCCAGGAGTTGGAGGTTGTGAGCTGTGATGCCAGGGTCAGGGTACTCTATCCAGGGTGATAGTTTGAGGCTCTGTCTCAAAAAAGGAAAAAAATACAATGAAATATACCACACTTTCCCAATCTGACCATTGTTTTCAGCCCATTTTTCTATTACTTAGCACCATATTCACATCTGATGCTATCATTCTTCTCTTCAACTTCTAATGAAAGTACTGATGAATTGGGTAATAAGGGCTTGGCGCCTATAGCTCAACTGCCAGGGCACCAGCCACGTGCACCCAGGCTGGCGGGTTCGAACCTGGCCTGGGGCCTTCCAAACAACAATAACAACTACAACAATAACAAAATAGCTAGGTGGAGTGGTAGATGCCTATAGTCCCAGCTACTTGGGAGGCTGAGGGAAGAGAATCGCTTAAGCCTAAGAGTTTGAGGTTGCTGTGAGCTGTGATG